CCTGCATGAGGGAAATGTATCGAGTTCGCTGCATGTGGCTTAATAATTGGTGGAATGTACTACTTTTGCTGGCGGCGCAAGCTCTCATTTCCAGGGTATCTCGCTGGTCGACTCCGGTCGCATAACCAGCGGCTATCTAAGTCCTTCTCCTGCCTGCACCCATGTATTTATGGCCTAATATATTATATATTTATGTGTCTGTCATTTAATAAATTCTGCTGATAATGTCATAGACATCAGCGTAAAGATGACCTCCGACCCCTGTGACCCGAACTCCGGGTGTGTGTGTTTTTGGTGCTTCGCATGATTTGCTCCCATGATTTGTGTTGGTCAGAGTGGCAGGGGGAATGCCAATGCCAAGGGAGTCAATTTTTATTGTTGTTTATTGTTATTTATTTATGTTTACGGTTTGCCCTCCTTGGCCAGCCTTGCTTGCCCCTTTTGATGCACGGGGCGTATACGCAACTTGGTTCCCGTGGCTGGGGAGGAACTAAGTGCCTCTGGATGTTTTAATTACAAAAACTGAATGCATACTTTTCCATTATACATACTTCAAGATCTTCATACTCGTATGTAAGCTAGTTAAATTTGTGGGTCCTATGCGTATACTTAATTTTTCAGGGCGTATACGTAACTTAACGCTGAACTCGGTGAATCAATGTATGGCGCTAATATACAGGCCTAATATACAGGCTACAAATTTTCAATTATTCATAGAACGTCTTCAAGTAGCTAGCACAAATGAATTGAACACATTTCTTGATTGAATTGCCAAACCATTAAAAGGTAAACACGCACGACTTTTATTTTTACCCCTCTTCAAATTTATTCCCACTTATTTTCATTTTAACGTTTATGCAGCATTTTCACTGTTTTTTATTTGTTGTTCTTGTCGCTGACTCAGCTGTCGATGTTGCCCCCATCCATCCACAGCCTCCACTTTCGACCCCATTTGCATATCACATTTACGAATTTTTTTGTGCGTTCGTTCTCAAGTGGGATTCATTTCGATACTCAAAAATTGCTCAAAAGCCTTCAAATTGTGATCCATAAATAACAGGGAAAAAGCGCCAGAAAGCCCAAGTGATGGGCACAAACGAAGAAGGCTGCTTTTGTACTTGAATCGATTGTTGGCAATGAAGTCAATTACATAAACGGCAAGGAGAAATAAGAGCGGAGCATAAAATTTAGGAATCATGAGGCAGTCAAATGATACGATGAAAATATGAAGGATATGGGGAATAATTTGGATGGTGGGTTGTAATTTCGTTTAGGCAGAAATAAATGAATACATCTAACATTTTGAAAGTAGGTTTAAATCGATATAGGAGACATACAATTCAATATTCAGTAGGAGTATAGACTTTCAAAAGCTAATTGAATTTAAACAATGCAAAGAGGTAAATTTAATTAAAAAATACCCAAGTTCTCTACTAGAAAGTAGAGAATAAGCGGAGAAACAAGTGCTTGGCAAATATTAAAAGACGCAGGAAAAAGGGGTGGCAATATAATTATATTAATTGGCGAGTAAATTAACAAGTCACAAAGGAGGCGGAAGTAAGACGGGAATAAACCTGAGTAGGAAAAGTGACTTGGGGGAAAATCAAACACGAGGTCAGCCGCCAGTCAACACCTGCCACGCCCCCCTGACCAGCCCCTTGCCGAGTTTTCCATTTGCCTGCCAATTTCCAACACCAGAGGGCGTCAAAGTGACGTGTCGTCTGGCTGGCTGGTTTTTCCCGCTTTTCCCGCCGTTCCCGCCTTTCCCTCTTTTTCGGCCCCATCGTCATTCTCCTTGCCACCTTGGCTTCCTTGCTTTTACCGCGCCTCACCGCGTCCCCTCTCCTTTTCGGCATGTGAAGCATTTAAAAGTCACTTAAGTGGAAATTAAAAAGAAATTATTCACTTTGCCACAAACGCACATACACGTACAAACTCGTGCAAGTGTTTTCCACAGCTTCCTTTGCCTCAATTGCTTTTTTATTTTTTGCCAGATTTATATTTTTTATTTGCTCCGCTCTGTTTGTTTGTTTGTTTGTTTGCTGTAATTGTTGTGGTCTGCCTCATTATTTGTATCTGGTCAAGGGAAAGCGGTGGAAAAGCGGGTAAAAAGCGAGCCCCAAAGCAGATAGCACTCCCCTCCCGAAAGTCCCACCTCCACCCCCTTTAATTGTGGTTCATTTTCCGAGTCTTTTGAGTTTCGGGTCCTTTGGGCTTGCAGCACATTTCCTACATTTTCCTACACTTAACCACAATATTTTTGTGGAATTGCTCGCAAATTGTTTATAGCTGACCTCAAAGCTATTTGGGGATTATGGCCAACAGAGACAAGGTTTTAGCCATCATTTCCCCTATTTTTTCTACCCCCAGCTGGCTTCGGATTAATTTTAATGGCAATTAATGAAATTAGAGCATTAACTTGTTGCTCTCGCCGGAAAGTGGGCTACTTCAAATACATTTTATATTCAGGTTGAATATGACACTTGTTTGCCAACAATTTAAATGAAACCCAAAATTGAATAAATTTCCCTTTTCCGATTTTAAGGTACGTCACAGTTAGCAGCACACGTAGTGACGAAGCTCACCCATACATATATGTGAATGTATTATAAAGAGAGAAGGTTGATATCAGAACATTCGCATTGCCAACGTTTGTTCGACTTTGAGTCAGGAATGTTCGAATTGGATTCCAGATGGGCTCCCAAGGGGTATCTATTGAGAAAAGGATATGGTTGTGCTCCTAACTTCACCTAAAGCTTAGTGAAATTTAAGCGCAAAGGGCCTCTTTATTTGCTTCTTTGGTTTGTTTGTGGCTATGTATGTATGTACTCATAATTTGTGCCTTTTATGCCTTGCATTTGTGTCATGTTCAAAGCAACCATTTTTTGATGTCATACGCGGCCTCATCAACTTAATCATTGAAGAAGAAGGAACAATTTGCCTTGCACAGATCCTTCGTCCTTTTTCGCAGCGTCCTGCGTAAAACTTGAAAAGCGGAGAAAAGAGCAGAGCGCAGCACAAAAACAAAAAAAAGAAAAGAGCGAAAATAAATAATGTGAGGAGGAAACATTCAGCTTCGTTGACGGCGACCCATTGACCAAGTTAAAAAGGCTACAGCAGTACGGCATATATGGGGATATGGCCACACATGTGTGAGTTATGCAAATCATATATATATACAATATATATATATATCATATATATATGATATATTTTTTCTCTTGCTGCGGAGGCACTTCAAATGCGGTTTGGGGCCGCGGAATCAAGCGCCAAGAGACCTCATAAAAGCGACTAACGCAACTGGCTCACACAGATACGCACTCACACAGGCGCACATATTGAGTTGTGGCTTAATACCACACAGAGACACACACTAACACACCGACACACATAGGGGTTCAAAGTTTGGCAGCAGGAGCGCAAAAACCAAAACAGAAATATTTCGCTCCACTTTTTTGTACGCCGGGTTTTTTTTAATATTTTCTTCCCACAAAATTTGTGTCATGCCATGTGCTCGGGATTGCATAACCCCCTTTCAGGAGGCCCCCTCCACCACGCCCCTGTCAGCTTCATTTGGCAACAGAAATATCTCGCAGATTAAACAGGGAATTGAAACTAGACGAGCAGTCGCAACAGCAGCCGTAACTATAAATTAGGTAAGGTTAAATCGCCCAAATGAAATATGTAATTAAATTGGAGAGGGGTAATGAAATGAGAAATGTTTTAGTTCTTTCAATAAATGAAAAATTAGCCTAAATAGATCGAATAATTTAACTTCATTCCAGATGAAACAGCGATTGGTAAAGATACAAGACATCAAATAAAGGGGTTGAAAAATGTGACGCGATTCATAATTTTAACGTATTTTTAAACACATTTTTGTGAATAATTCTACCAACTTGAATTGGCAAGCTTTCTGGATAGATGTGCATTTGATATTTCTAGTTAAGATAGAGCTGCAAATGCAACTGGAATTAGGGATTAGGATGACAGGGCGACAACCACAAAGCCATCAGCACTGCAATGCTACCATTTCCCATTTTCCGCCCGCTTCATCGAGTTCCACATTCGCTTCGCTGGCAACTTAAATTTCCCCCCACTCAACACAGTGACGGAGTCAAATAGAGTGCTGCTTTCAAGAGGGATTTCGCAGGGGGGCGCGAGGTTGCTTTTCAAAGGGGGGTTTCCACAAGCATCTGTGATGCGCTGCATCCACGGCAAAAAGTTCATTAATCTAGTTACAAGTTCGCGCAGACAGTTCGCATAATCAATCAATAGACTCACGATGGCGCTTCCTCTTCGTTGGGGCGGATGGGGGTCAGGAAATTCTGGGGCGTAAACATGTTGAAACCCTCCCCCTCCGCAGGACAACCCACGTCACTGTATAGGTAGGCGTGACTGCTGAAGAGGGCGGGGCGTGTGACAGTTTTTTGCGGTTTTCAGCCCGCTGAGTGACAGGCATAGGATAGCATTTTCTAAGCGGTTTTTCTTTGGCTTTTCCTTGCCTGCGAAAACTGCTAGAGGAACAGCGAAAGACGTGGCGTGAAAAAATTAATTAATTTAGAGCACGGTCCATATAGATCAGGTAACTAGAGCACTTTATGTATACATACAATTTAATATACAAATACACATGAAAGGAATTGCGCAAAGGTAATCTTATATTAAAATTTTAATAAATCAGAACTATTGTAATTGCAAACTGTGCCAAAAAACGGCATGTGCTCTAAGTCTTCGTTTTATGTCAAACATACATACAGGCGATCACTTTTGAACACGTAAAACAGGGTAACTACATTTAATAATGTACTGCAAATCTTGAAAACTAAATAAACCTATTTTTAAAAAGTAAGTCATCATCCGCAGAGATACAAAACTTTAACCATACTGATCGGCTTGTAAGCTATTTTTAGTTTTTTGTTTCTAATTTAGAAATCAAGTACTTACGCTCACATTAACACAATTTAAATAATGTTTACAAAAATGACTTCAAAGTGGAAATTTGTATTATTTTTTCCTGGTTTGCACTGAGGATGGTTAGATGTTTTAACAGTCTTCTCGTTTAAAAGTTATGAAGTGCTTTCAGCTTTGATTACCGATTTTTGCTCCTCATCGGCCTGATTATTGTCCTTATGCGGCGCGATCTCTTCGATAGGCGGTCGATTATTCCGATTACTGCGTAAATGATGATGGTGGTGATGACGACAGCAGCTGCACCCGTTTTGTTGCTCCTGTCTTCGCTGCTTCTCCAGGCGATTGCGAGCTCTCACCTCGGGATGGCCAAAACAGTGTTCGCACTCGTCGTCCGTGGAGGACGAGCTCTCGCCGAAAGGATGTGGCTTTCGATAGATGCAGCAGCACTTCGATTTGCGCCGATTCATGTGCTCGTTATCGATAACGCCGGCATGAAAGCCAATGTGCCGTTCGTTCGGCTGCCTCTGCTGCACCAATCGGAGGCGGAGCACACAGGGCGTGGCCACTGGCTGCACGGAGGTTTCGCTGCTAACCGCCGAACTGAAGCCGGAATCGGTTTCCGATGCCCCAGGAAACGTCAGGGTTGTCGTTGACTCCGTACTTGGGTCTTTGGGCTCCGTCTGACCATCGACCAACGATACCTCGGTATTCAACTGATCCATATCAACAAAAATAGAAGTGAAACCTTCGAAATTTAGAGGTATTAAAAAAACTACACAATTTACACGTTTTTAACCAAACTTTGCTCTGTTTTGTACAAAAATTTGATGTAAACTGAGTAGAAGACAGTTTTCAACAGTATGATAACTTTGGAAGAGCCTGTGTGATCCTAACTTGTGTTCATATACCTATTTTAAAATAAATTAGCAAAGGAAGTTTTGTACCGCCAGATTTGAATGGTTTTCGGGACATGGTCGTACCGGGATCTACATGAAAATTAAAATGCACTTAAGAGTTTATAAAATATTCTATCTTTTCAACCATATTATGTCTCAATCTTCATTTGAATACCATGTACCCATTTATTCCCATTTTACATCAATAGCACTTTTGAAGACGATATTTAAATTACAGCGAGTGAAATGCGAGAATCGATGGGTGTTGAGGCAGTCTGTGGTGAGCCACCAAGTTTGCTGACCTCTTGCCTCCTGCCTCTTTCCCTCTCTTTCTCCACGTGCTCACCCGTCTCACTCTTCTCTCGTCTGTCCTCTCGTTCTGGCTGTCTCGTCTCCAGCTTTAGCCGCAGTCATTTTGGCTGCCAAAACTTGTGCACGATTTACGTCAATTGGACAAGCGCCAGGACACGCCTTAACCCCGCAGTGCCCCCGTCCCACTTAACCCGCAGCGTTTCGCCCCACCACCCACTGCGCCGCCCACTGCTCCACCCATTTCCACCCCACCCAGCAGGCATTCCGCACAGCTTCCCAAACAGTTTCCCAATTCCCAGAGCAGCTCCTTTGCCAGGCTCTATGTTTACCTAAAATGCAATCCTCCTTGCCCGGTGCAGTTTTGCATTTATTATTGGTAGAGTGGGTGAGAAATGGGAGGGGGGTTGGCGGCTTGGAAAAACCATTTTCCATTTTACTTTACCACTTTGCCTTTGAAAAGTGCACAAAAAATCCGCCCTCGTGTATATATATATACATGCATATACATACATATTTATTTTTTTTATTTACGCATGGCAAATAAATGTTGAAAATAATATGATGGCTGCTGTGCTGTGGGGTGAAGGAACTTTTTGCCAGCTTCGTTTTCGTTTTCTTGGCTTTCAGTTTTCCCCTCTAGTTTTTCTTTTCTTTTTTTGTACTATTTTTTAACTTTTTTTTTTCTGGTGGTCTCGTGTTTTTCACTTCTTGTCTGCGTTTATCTGGCATTAGAAGCAAGAAAAATTATGTTTGCGGGCGAAAAAAGGGGGGTTTTGTCTGCTCTGCAGCAGATAATAAAAACGAAGCCGCAACGTCCAAAATGCGAAAGACCCTGAATGAAAAATTATGCTCAATGCTGTTTGAATAGTTACGCTTTTCCCGCCCTCCATGCGGAAAGAGGGCGTGGCCAGAGGTTCAAGTGCAACGCACAGAGCGAATTCGAGGTGAAGTGAGTTTTCATTTCATTGTTTGCCATTAAAATGTAACTCTAATCGATTGAGTATTCGATTTCCTTTTTTGTTATATTTTGCAACACTTTCTTACATTGTACTCAGCATTATTTTGCATTCAATAAAATAATTTGTTGCATCACTCAGTGTTACAAAGTTGCCAATTTCGTACTACATTTTGGCATTAAATAGAACTTAGAAACAAACGGGACGCAGAAGGCAGCCGCATTGTTGCACTGTTGCAGATTATTGGCCAAAATGTATCTTTCACAAATATTTGAAACATTCAAGCTCGAAGCTGAAAAACATTTTCACCCGTATCTCTTAACCGTTTGTGGGGCGTAGGATTTTTACTGACGGTACTTGCCGCGACACCCAGTTGTGGAATCACCTAAAACTATTTGCAGACCATTGGACTAAACACTTGGCGGCTGCTCTTCACGCACTTAACGGTCAAATAAAAGTTTCCGGTGGGCGGAAAGGCAGGAAAAGGCAGGAAAAGTGGAAGGGTGGGTGCGTTATTTCCAAGGAAACGCAAATCCTCGAGCGCCTGTGGCCATAACTTTCTTTCTGTGAGCCATTGAAATGAAATCTAAAATTCATTACGCATTTTATGCGTCAAAAGGAGATTGGGGATTGGGGTTAGGACTGGGACTGGGGGTGGTTGTGGTGGTGGTGAGGAGGATAGGTGGGTGGCACATAATGAGGCGCGTGTTTGGTCTGAACCTGCCCCATGCCACAAATGGCATTTATGTCCCAATGGAGACACGCACAAAATGCGACGACAGCAACGCCTTCGACTGTCTCCTGTTTTCCTCGCCTTTCCTCCGGATTTTCCTGCACGCCCATCTGCGCGAGAAATTTACCCGCCGGAATTGTAAGCTCAAGCGTCCGTGTCTCCTTTGTCGCTGGTGTGGTTGTCTTTGGGGAATAAGATGAATTACATGCTACTTCAGTCAGCCTCCTTCTCCTGCTCCTGCTCCTTCCCATGCTCCTGCTCCTTTGAAAGTTCCTATCGCCACTCGGCACTCTTCTGCCTCGGCATGCAAAATCATGCAGATAACGCACAAAAAGGTACCAGAAACTAAATCCCCAAGCGCATAGTTTCGCAGCAGGAAGTCCGACTAAAAACAGTGGATCTTGGGCTCTAAGAAATATGGAAAAAAATCCTCTGAAAAGAAAGACAGTAGAGGAGAAGAGTCGCGAACGGGAAACAGCACAGCTACATTACACAAAAAGTCAAAAATATGCTTGCTTAAATGGTTTCTACAAATTTAGTATGGCTGTGAATTAATGGTGTGACCATGCAACGATCTCTGCTGCCATATACAGGATATTATTGTATGGCATTTGGAAATGCAATGCTAATGGAACTAATGGAACGTGTAGGAAATGTCTAAAAAATGAATTTTAAGTCTCAAACGCCATTTCTTTATAGATGCCACACAAAATATCCAAGCTAGCAGAACCAAAAGTGTTTCTTAAAGATATTCGACAGTAACCCAATTTGCAGCCTTAGTTGCTCTTCAGAAACCGATCCATACAGCTGCTACCCCATGCTATTCGAAATTTATGGAAATTTCCATTTAACAATTTCCGCCTTGCATCGAAAGCAGTGTGCCGGTAAAAAGGAAGACAGAGAGCGAAATCAACCGCACGGAAATCATGTCTACGCATCATTCTTTGTGCTATTACTCTACTAGTGGACTCCCCTTTTCCGCACCATGGTGTATTTAGTATTTTTTTTTTTTTTTGGGCATTCCTGTATTGTATTTGGTTTCGGTTTGTGTGTGTGATACTGCGAGGCTGTGTGGAAATGTGTGATAAGCAGTTTCCGCTGGGGAATAGACTACACATACATATATAGTGGGTATATATACATATACATATATGTAGCGTGGTGTGCGAGGATAGTTCTTTGAATGCCTAGATGGCTAGGTTGCGTCCTTTTTCTTTGGCGTCAAACTGTCCAATACGACATGCCCACATATAGAAAAATATTTAATTTTCAGACCAATTTTAAATATTTACTGGTCAGAGCTGTAAAGTGTGACCATGCATTTTTTGGAAAGGTATTTCATTGAACTCCGCAAAACAAAAACTAAAAATAAGCTTATTGAATAATACTAATTAAGTTGAATCATATTTAAGTTAAATTTCACTATAAAATCGGAATTAGGCGGGTATTTTCTTCAAGTGCAGTGATGGCAAAAACATCTTTTTATAGGCCAACAAAAAGAAGGCAAGGATTTAGAATTGAGGCACATTTCATAGTTAGGGCGGGAAAGGGAATCGGAAGCTGTGGCTACTAATGCAAATATAATGGCAAATGTTTCGGAAATATATTTCACAGATAAAATTGATAAAGAAGACGCCGCCGCCCTTAATTCACCCTCAGAAAATCTATTGTATGCGGCGGCAAGCGGAAAACTATTTGCTCGCATTTTGCCACACTTTTCTCCTTTTTCTCTCTATTATCCAACATCCACAAATGATGGCAAGAAAAAAGGAAAACATCTGAAAGGCTACTCCTTACTTGGGATTTCCAAAAGTCTTTTGTATGCCTCGGCCTTTCCTGCCATTGGTTTCTTATCTACCAATCTATAACTCTCATCATTCTTAAGTACTGCTCTGACAGGCGAAATATGCTTTTAAATTTAAAAAGAAACACAAACTTTTGCAAAAAAATATTCATTTTACATTTTTAAAATAATGCCTCTTCTGGTGACCAAGCACATTAATGGGGAAGTAGCTGAAAGCCACTTCTAAAACTGAAATAAATTGCCCGTCTTCCTTAGCTTAACAAATTGCATATTCAGTTTTCCTCATAAACACAGTGAGGCATCGTTAAGACTTGAGTTGCCCCTTGATCATTTACATTTGCTACCACTTTATCTCACTTTCAACATCTTCATTCACTCGACTTTCCAAGTTCACTTCCCCACTTATTTTTTCCCTCCACAATAAATGTCAATTTTGCACTGCTCTCAATCAAATAAGTTTGCTGTTGAAAGTTGAGACTTCCTTTCGCCAGTTCAGTTCCGTTCAGATCCTTTCAATTTCTTTTATTTGTCCGAGCTTAAGCTCCAGCTAATTTCTGTCTCTTTCTCCACTTCCGCCTTCTTCCTTGGCTCACTCAAACTATTTTTATGATTCTTGAGCTAAGTAATCGAAATAAATAAAACGGAATCTGTGTCACAGATTTTCTGCCATCTGGCCGAGCAAAATGTAAACAAAATAAATAAGAGAATGGGAACAAGAACGAGAAGGAGAACGAGAACGAGGTGAAGCCGTTGACAATGGTATTCCCTATGGAGTGGGAGCTCGTTGGGCTGCATCCAACCATTTGTCAGTTTCCCTTAGTGGAGCAAAGAAAAAATCTAATATAAATTCCATTACAATTATATAAATTTCACTTAAGTTTGCAATAATTTGAAAGCCTGAGATGCGACAGCAACGAGTTAAGCGAGGGAGTACTGTACTGAAGCAGCAAACAGCAGGCAGCAAGAAAAGGGGAATAGGAAAACGGTGAGGGACAGCAAAAGAAATGCATCATAAATTTTCATGCTGCTCTCGCGATTTTCCATTGTGCTTCACTGGAGAGTGGCGAGCAATGGACATAAAAAGCCAAGCCCAAGACAGCGGCAACTTTCATTTGGAGTAGCAGTAACTGGAGCTGCAGCCTAATGCACA